TAGGTTCTATGCCATTGTCTTCCATTTCTTTTCTTTCATCTATGCCTATAATTCAATGGCATAGTCCTTGCTTATTCAGCCTAGATCTTCTACTTTATCTATGAGTTCTGATAGTCTGTCTTCTGCTTGATTCATCATTCTGCTTATAAGGCTTTCTATCCTTTGAATTTTGTAGTTCTGTTTTTACCTATGAACTTTAAGTTTGGGTTTGATTTGACTGTGATTATCCCCTGGTTCTTTGTTCTTGGCATAAGAAAACTTGTAACTTGTTTTTTGTTTGTTTGTTTGGGTTTTTTATTTTATATTTTATAAGAGCCAACTATTGAGAGGTTTTAGGTGTTTTAAAGAGGCTGAACATTTAAAATGGTTGAATTTTAGGACTGTGGGACTTCTAATGTTATTTATGCTTTATATTATAATATTAGTATTAATATGAGATCTTGGGATCGAGTAAAAAAAAGAATGTTTACCATTGAAGTGATGTATTTGTGTGCTAAATTTCAAGGAATCAAATGTCATGGGGTTTTTGTTGTTGTCATTTGTTTGTCTGTTTTTGTCAACTTGACACAAATTAGAGTTATCTGGGATGGAGAACCTCAATCCTCCAAATGCCTCCATCAAGACTACCTATAGCGAGTCTGTAAGGAATTTGCTTGATTAATGATTTAAGTGGGAGGATCCTGGCTTTTTGGGTGATGCAACTCCTCAGAAGGTGGTCCTGGGTTGTACAAGAAAGCAAACTGAGCAAACCATAAGAAGCAAGCCCCCCCCCAAAAAAAAATAAGGAAAAAATAAAAAAGAAGCAAGCCAATGCTTTCTGCTTCCATCCCTACCTCCAGGTTCCTGCCATGAATCCTTCACTGGATTCTGTCAGTAATAAACTGTTCCCAGGAAATGTAAGATAAAACAAACCCTTCCCTCTCCATGTTGTTTTTGGTCATGGTATTTTATCACAGTAGTGAAACCCTCCCTAAGACAACAATCAATGCCTTGATCTTGTACCAGATCATCACTTGTTGCTAAGTCTTCTTCTCCTTCATAACATCTAAAAATTCTTCTCTTTGACTCTGCATCATTAATTCTCTTTACTTGGTAATTCTTTGATCTCCAAAGAACATGGAAAGGTAGGAAATATGCACTAGAAGTATGCTCAAAGTTGGAGCTGTGGAATAGTTTCAGTTGATGATAAAAACAGAATCTAACTAGTCACATGGTAGTGATTAAAACAAAAGGCATCACAGTAGGGAAGTCAATCATTGAAATTAAAGATCAATCTTTGGGAAGTATATGGTGGCAAGCAGAATAGAAGTCTCCAAAATGATATGGAACCAGGAGACTAAAATAATGTAGTTTCAAGGGAATGATTCAAGTAACAATACAGGGCTAATAACAGATGATTGCCATGAAGAAGTGCTTAGCTGACAAATCACCCAACTATTTTATTTCTGAACTGAATAAACGTAGTAATGGGGGACAAGAGCTATGGAGTATTCCAGACCAAGGTGCAGTAGAATAAGAGATGTAGAGAAAACATCAGAAACCACATGAGAAGGCTAGAGCAGGTTTCTAACAAACAACTGTAAAAAAAAAAAAATCAGAAATCTATTCACTCAATTACTTGTGTAGTTAGCCTTTCTATGTAAGACAACTGAGCCCCAGTTGTAGTTCTTTACTGTCCAGCACTTCTCCCAGAGTGCTTGCATGGGCCTCTGGAAGTTTGAGGGGTAAGAGGTTCAGCAGTTCACATTTTCATTGTTTGAAAATTTGCTAATCACTGTCATTCCAAAAGAGAAAGAATGGAAGAGGGAGACACTGTGTATTGTTAATGGTGATAGTTCAACACTGTGTCATTGAACACTTTTGTTAACCTACTAGCTGAACTGACTTAGAATGTGCTCCATTTACCCTGTAATTAGGACACTGTGAGTTGTACAAAAGTGACACTACTGTTTTTGTTCCATTAGAAGGCACCCTGTAGACATGAATCCAATATGTAGCTTTACAACCATTAACATCACATTCAGAGAAATAAAGAAGAAATTTCTAAGTTTTGAAAGGACACAGAATTAAATTAAACTATATTTGAAAGTCTTTGAAATTATGAAAAAAGCTTATGACATTCAGTGATCAACTTCTCTCAGATTCTGTTTATATAAATCACAATTGTTGGACAAGTGAAAATGATTTTAATAGGAATATTGTTGTTTAATGAACCTTCTAAGGGCTACCCCCATTATGTACTGATGAGCACCCCAGACTTGATTTGCAAATTGGATTATAGTGAGTCACTTTTATGGTTCATAACAACAATGGAGCCTATGGGAATTGTACTGCTATTTCATAAATTCTCTCTGGCCTTACTCTGAATATAATGCAGGCTTCTGATCATTTATTTTGGGATAAGTTTAGGGTCAATATACATTAAGTGGAATGTCTAATGAATTATAATGGGATATGTCTAAGGAGATGATTGCTTCAGGGTTCACAGTCAAATCTTAGTAAAGACTGTTATATATATATATATATATATATATATATATATATATGTTTATATGCTCAGTTACAGAAACTTAAGTACTGAGTCCTAATTAATAGCTAATTTTTATCTGACCAAAGATTTTTTTTTCTTGTCACCCATATTGTATTTATTGTTTTAGCAATGACTGACTCCCTGAAAGTTTTTAAACAGGTTTGTGTAGTTTTTAACTACATCGAGAAAACTCCCTCAGCAACTATTTGTGAGTCTGTGACTTTTCTTTCTAAAATCTTTCTAAAATCTGAAAACTTTTTTTTAATTTATTTTATATAACAAAGTCTAATTAAATGAAAACAAACATTTATACACAATATTTGGGAATTTGGGCGTCGTTCTTTCCAAACTACTTCCTGCTGGTAAGGGGCGCTGTCATGGGGGATTCAAAGAAGATTCAGAAATCCTGGCTGTAGTCTGTAAGGCTGCTTTGTCCAGCTGTTTTGAATGTAGGATCAGCTTGTACTCTGTTTCAGGCAGTCTGGCGTGATCAAACCACATTAGTCTGGAAGGAATCCACATCTTTTCATTTTCTGTGGAAACAAAAATAGAAATCCTTTTCCCCAGTAACTTGTCCTTCAACTTAAATTTTGGAGTCAAAGCATTTTTTTTTTAATTTATTATTTTACATGTGGATCCCAGTTCCCTCTCCCTCCCTTCCCCCAGCCCTCCCTCCCTCCTTCCCTCCCTTTTACCCTCTCTGCCCTCTCACCTGCACTCTAACCACCCTCCCCTCCCATCCCCCCACCCCAATTCCATATGTAGGGGAAAGCCATCCAGTTGGGGTCATGTAGATCTGACAGGTCATGTGAAGTAGGGACTAGGGCTTCTCTCCTGTCTCTAGATTAAGGCAGTTATCCCTCCATGGGGGATATGTTTGCAAAGTCCTTTTGTGCACCAGGGATACATCCTGGCTCCACTATCTGAGGTCTCTTAGACTGCTCAGTCCTTCTGACTGAGACCCATATTCAGGGGGGCCTGACTGACCAAAGACTTCTTTGTATAAAAACAACTTTTAAATTATGGTCAAATGTTAAGTCATTATTATTATTTAATAGCAAAATTATTATAATATTTATGTTGCTGCTTTCAATACTTATTGAATATATAGGCATATTACAATATTATACTTTAATAATATACTTCATAGAATGTTTTACTCCATGGAATCATTATAATTTGGCTTACAAATTCAGTGTCCTTATGCCATTATGGTTTTAAATAGCTATTTAAAGAAGTGAAAAAAAATTCTAAAATTATACCTTATTCAACCAAGTAAGCTTTGAAGTTATATGTGTGTGTTTATGTAAAAATATTATATAAAGCATGTATGAATATTTTCAGTATTTTCATGATTACTTAATACAACACATTATTTAGTACTGCTAGAGACTGTAGGAAAGAAATTGCTCTGGCAGCAAAAAGAAGAAACTAATAAATTTGCTTGAATTTGGGGAGGGTTCTTAGGACATCAGTTTTGAAATCTTAGGGATTTAGCGACATGGGAGTAGAATTTTATATAGCTGTGACATATCTGAGGACTATCTAACTCAACCAGAAATTACAGTCCAAAACTGTAATTTTTGGATGGATAGAGTGAAGAGAGATAAGAACAAAAGACCTGGAATGGAGCCTGCAAGAGGTTTGCGGACTAGTTCATGCTAGACAGAAATAAAGAAGGATGTAAAAGAGAAATGGATCTCAATTCAATTTATACTTACATGACAAGATTAGTGTATTTAATATATTGAAATGTGAATGGGTAATTATGAGTATGATATATTCAGTTGGAATTTTAAGACTCATTTTTGCACCATTAAAATTGTTCACTTATTTTGTCCTTAAAGTTTCAAAGCCCACTTCAAATTAAACAAAGGAAATACACTCACTTGGGTTGTCACAACTCTGTTAATTTTAAAAGTGAATAATCTAGTTATCTTAAGGATGAGAAATAATTGGCATGTAAGAATATGTTTTATAGGATTTTGTTTTAGTAGCAGAGTTACTAAAACATGAAATTATCTAGATATTATCTAGACATAAAGAAGTAGACAAAGTGAAAAACTTTCTTCAGTCTAGATGTGAGAGATGAAGACATGCATAGTGTTTGCGGAACAGAACATTGTAGAGTATCCTGTTTCTTCACAATGGTGTTTAATAATGTGTTTATGAGGGGGAAAAGCAAAACATCTAAAATATGAATATGTGGGTTTCAATTATTATCAAATTTTAGGCTTTTTCTTTGACTACTGTCATTCTGGCTTTTCAAAATAGCTCTTTGCATCACATGAGGGTGGGGCAGTGTTGGTACAGACAGAGGTATAAAAATGACATTTTTCCTGATCCTGGATGGTGGGGAGGGTATGTGTGCCACTTTATAACTGCCATCAGAAGACTAACCAGAATGATTGTGTGTGTGTGTGTGTGTGTGTGTGTGTGTGTGTGTGTGTGTGTGTGTGTGTGTGTACAGCCACAACTCCTTCAGGAGACACCTACCAAGGCAAATGAACGTCTCCAGTGTTGACTTTACCATGGGCACTGAACCGGTTTTACAAAGAGGAGAAACAAGGACCAGCATCGGGAGGATCAAACCAGAGCTCTATAAGCAGAAATCAGTTGACTCCGAAGGCAACAGAAAAGATGACATCAAAACCTGTGGGAAACTTAACTTTATGCTCCAGTACGATTATGAAAATGAACTCCTCGTTGTTAATATTATCAAAGCTTTAGATCTCCCAGCTAAAGATTTTACAGGAACTTCTGATCCTTATGTGAAGATCTATCTTCTTCCAGACAGGAAAAAGAAATTTCAGACGCGTGTCCACAGGAAGACATTAAATCCTCTGTTTGATGAGATATTTCAATTCCCAGTGGCCTATGATCAACTAAGCAACCGGAAACTACACTTTAGCATATATGATTTTGACAGATTTTCCAGACACGACATGATTGGAGAAGTTATTCTTGATAATTTATTTGAAGTCTCCGACCTCTCAAGGGAAGCCACAGTATGGAAAGATATCCACTGTGCAACCACGGTAAGCAATAAATCCTCCAATTTCTCTTTGACTCCTGGTGATATTTAAGACCAACCATTACCCATATTATTAGATTAAACTCTATAAAGCTGTAGAACTTAAACCCCAAGTTCCTGTAATGGTACTATTTGATTATTTAGCAATATAACTTGGGTACCTAATACAGTATAGGAAACACATGCAGGTGTAAAAGCAAAGCAGCTTTTACACGTTGCTTTTTCTTTTTCTTTCTTTCTTTTTTTTTTTTTTTTTTTTTTTTTTTACAAAATACTTATGTATAACCTGTTCCCAGTACCAGTTTCTCCATAGATGATGCTGAATTTCATTATTTAAAGTAATTTTGTTTCACAGGTCAAATCTGAGATGTACACTGAGGCAATGTGGTTTGATCTAAAAAAACAGCCCATGACTTTAGAAGCTTCCATGGAATGGACATGGTTACAGTACATTACTGCGGTTAAATAAGGATCAGGATAAACAAATAGGCCAAATAGATGTTTATTCAGGGAGAAATTACAACCTAGACAGATGAACACCAGGAAATTCCACCCGATGCTCTCAGACCCTGTCTGAGTCTTGACAGCAAGAGAGCTTTTCCCGGCTTTCTCGGACCTCCCTCCACAGGTCACTTCCGCACATGGCTCCACCCCCAATGGGCGTGGTCAGTGCCACAGAAGGACTATCACGACAGTACATGGGATGCTAAAGAGCAAAAGATAATTTTCCATATTAGGATTATTTTTTCACAATGTGTATTTTTCAATTACAAAATGATACCAACTATAGTGCTGAAAATTTTGAAAGCAGTATCAACACAATAGAAACAAAGTAATCAACATTGCTACCAATTATGTAAATGTTTTAGGTATTACTATCCTGTTTCTGCTCTGAATACATTAAAAATAATTGTGAATTTTTACACTGAATTTTTATTTTCAAACTCACTTGATTCCATGATAATTTGTTTCCATCATGATCTTTATTGTTTTAAAATTGTAAGCTATGTGTGTGTGTGTGCACGCGCAGTCTATGAGGGTATATTTACCATGGCACACAATTATGGAGGTCAGAGGACCAGTCTGTGCAGTTGGTCTTTTTCTACCCTTAAATGGGTTTCAATAAATTGAATTCACATTCCCAGGCTTGCATTGCAAGTACCTTTACCTGTTGAACAATATTGTTGGGTACATAATGCATGATATCTAAATATGTTATCCATTACTTAGCCATTTTCTTGTTATGCACTTCAAAGAAGCATAAATTTTATTTTTTAAAAATGTGAGTTTTTTCAACTAACTTTTATAGGGCTGTGTATCACCACAGAATTACAGACTAGAAATTAGAGAATTGCTCGCAGGTTAGATTATTAACTTGTTTTGACTTAGTAATTCTAAAGTCTGACCATTTTACTTTTTACCAACAGATTGTCTTCATATATTTATTACTTTTTTGTAACATTTATTTTCTAACTCAGTGTTTGCCAAGTATTATTTGCAAGTATTATATAAAAGAGTTGACCTTGATTTGAAAAGTAAAAGGAATATTTTGTTCCTGGTGCCAACCATTCAGAGTACTGACTGCTCCCAGTGATCTTCCAATTGAATATAAATAAATACATTTTGTCATTTAATTATTAAATGTTTGAGTACTTAGATCTTTTAAAATAAATTTTCTCATTCTGGTGCAATATTCTTCATTTTACCTTCAGTTGTACTCGATCTATCACAGGATCAGAGTGATGCCTTTTTTAAAATTTGCTATTACAGAAGCTTCTAAGTTTGAGGAGGTCCCATTTATTAGTTGTTAATTTCAGTGTCTGTGCCCCTGGAGTTATGTTCAGGAAGCCGTCTCCTATAGCAATTTGTTCAAGGGTACCTCCTACTTTCTCTTCTAAGAGGTTCAATGTGGCTGGATTGATGTTGAGGTCTTTGATCCATTTGGACTTGAGTTTTGGGCATGGCAACAGACATGGGTCTATCTGCAGTCTTCTACACACCATCATCCAATTGTTCCAGCACCATTTGTTGAAGATGCTGTCCTTGCCCCATTGTATTCTTTTAGCTGTTTTGATGAAAATCAGGTGGGTTTATATCAGGATTTTCAATTCGATTCCATTGGTCTACCTGTCTATTTTTTGTGCCAATACCAGGCTATTTTCAGAACTATAACTCTGTAGTAGAGCTTAAAGTCAGGGATCGTGATGCCTCCTGAAGTTCTTAGCACATGGGAAGTGGTGGGGGGCAGTAAATGGAGAGACAAGTAGGAGAAAGAGAAGGGGAGGAGAGGAAAGCACGTGCAACTAGAAAGATTGTGTGTGTGTGTGTGAAAGAGAGAGAGAGAGACAGAGACAGAGAGAATAAAAGAGGAAGCCATTATTGGTTTGAAGAGAAAACTGGACCTAAAGAAAGGTCTAGAGACCTACAAGACTGCTGCCAAATAACAATTTGAGCAACCATGGAAAGGCTACCATAAATGCCCTTCCCGGATAGTGAGATCAACAACTAACTTATCCACCATCATGGAGCCCTCATCTAGTACCTGTTGGAAACAGAAGCAAACACCCATAACTAAACACTGAGTCAAACTAGAATCCAGATGCAGAGGGAGAGGACAAGACCAGGTTGCAGAAACACATAGAAACAGCTGACCTGAACAAGGAGGAGATAATGCCCACCCCCCCCCCAGACTGATAGCTGGGAATCCAGCATGGGACTGACTCAGGCCCCCCTGAATATGGGTCTCAGCTAGAAGGACTGAGCAGTCTAAGGGACCTCAGACAGTGGAACCAGGATGTATTCCTGGTGCACAAAAGGACCTTGCAGACACATCTCTCATGGAGGGATACTGCCTTAACCTAGAGACAGGAGAGAAGTCCTAGTCCCTACTTCAAATGACTTGACAGATTTACATGACCCCACCTGGATGGCATTGCCCTATATATGGAATTGGGGTGGGGGGGATGGGAGTGGAGAGGGGTCAGGGTGCATGTGAGGGGGCAGGGAAGATAAAAGGGAGGGAGGGAGGAAGGGAGGGAGGGAGAGGTAACTGGGATCAACATGTAAAATAAATAAATAAATAATTTTAAACATTTTAAAAAAGTTTTCTATTAATGAATTTTCTTCTAGGCTTTAACTATGAGATTGTATGTTCACTGATACAATTTTCTTTTCTTCTTTACCAAAATTTTTTTCTTCTTTTGTTTAATTTTACATATCGGATCCCAGTTCCCTCTTCCTCCCATCCTCCCATGTCCCCCACTGACCATCCCATCCCCCACACACTCGCCAGGGATGGTGAGGCCATCCATGAGGGATCATCAAAATCTGTTAAGTCATTTGGGGTAGGGCCTAGCCCTCTTCCTTGTCTCTAAGCTAAATGTCTCCTAACTGACACCCACTTTCTGGGGGTCTAGGTCAGTCCTATGCTAGTTTCCCAGCTATCAGACTGGGGTCCATGATGTCCCCCTTGTTCAGGTCAGCTATTTCTGTGAGTTTCTCCAGTCTGTTCTTGATCCCTTTACTCATCACTTCTCCCTCTCTGTAACTGGATTCGAGTTTGGCTCTCACTGATACAATTTTCACAATGACCATATTCCAATTTCCTTTTTAGTCTAAATGTTGGTGACTGGGGTGTTTGTTTCATCATTTAAACAGAATGGTAAACAGTAGTATAGGCACTGGCCACAGTTAGCAAAAACTCCTCCCTTGAGTTAATTAGTATTATTCATAAAAATTGGAACTCACCCGGACAGCAGAGAAAATTAAACTTGAGATAAAGTTCAGTTGACTGGATGTGTACTTTGTGTGCCCAAAGCCCAAAATTTAATTTCCAGCATCTTTTAACTGAGTGCAGTGGCATACATCTGCAATCCCTGAGAAATAAAGACGGAAAGATCAGAAGTTCAAGGCCATCCTTCATTATATAGAAAACAGACTGAGACCCTGTCTCACAAAACAGGAAAACAAGCAAACAACACCAGAATGCAGAAAATCCTCATTCCTTAGGTCCTTCAGATGACAGGCCATTTAGTATACAGCCAGTGTTATCAATGCCATTCAAATGGTATTGAATGACAATTTGAATTGCCCTGGACATGTTTCCTGCATGGCCTGGTCCTTGTCCATCCTCCTATCCCAAAGCCTCCTTGGATGCTTTCACAATGCAATCCACTTACTTCAATTTTCCTCAGATTATTCGACACCCTCCCTTGAAAATTAGAAACATTGCAAAGAATTGGGTAGGCTTTTCTTTAATCATTTTTCTATTATTTGAAGCCCCCCAAATCCCTAAGACGCTTTAAGATGATAGAGATCTGCATTTTTATTCTGTGTTGTCCCCTAATTTAATTGTGTGACATTTTGAAAGGTCAGGTACTCGTTCAGAATCAGCTATAAGAACCTTAGGAGACAGCATTTATCTTGATCACTAGTGTCCCCATGACCAGCCAGGTGCCTGGTGTTTGGGGGTGTGCTCACTTAACGTGAGCATGGTGATGGATGAACAAATCTTTAAAGATTGATAAGGTCTATGATACAGTTGGAACCAGAGTTTGGGAGCTATGAGAGTAAAATAAGAAATTCATGGTGATAATAATAATGATGATGATAAGCCACACTTTTAAGAGCCGTGTGTGTCATGAAGTTTGGACTTTATGTTGTAAGAGCTCTGTAAGACACACACTAGATTCCTTTGAAGGTTTTAACAGAATCAAGTGTTACTGGAGTTGTTGAAGGTCAGAGCCTTCAACTCATAGGCCCAGTAAACTATGTTCTGCCAGCTATACTTAGTAAACCAACTAATCAAACAGGAAATATTAAAAAGCAGTAAAAGCTGATTCAAAGTGGCCAGACTTGGGAAAGGAATAAAAAGATCCAGTGACACCATCTTCTCTCCTTTGCCAAGTCCCATCTTCAGAGTTCTGACATGAGGGTAAATTTTAAATTGAAGGAAGAGAGATAATGCATAACAAAGCAGTCTTGGTTCTGCCCAACATTGACCCA